CCCTCCCCCCCCCCCTCCCGTCCGTCCGTCCGTCCGTCACCCGTGTGTCTCTCGTCCCTGCAGGCAGCGCTCGCCCTCGACGGCGCGCACGGAGACATCTACTGCCACCGCGGCCAGCTCTACATCCTGCAGTCCAAGATCTCTTAATTAATAGTTAATAGTTCATAATTAATTAATTAGGCCAGCTCTACATCCTGCAGTCCAAGATCTCGGCGGCGGTGGACGACTTGCGCAAGGCGGTGCAGCTCGACCCCGGCTCGGTCCTGGCGCGCATCCAGCTCGGCATGGCGCTGCACCGCTCGCAGCAGCCGACCGAGGCGCGCCGTGTCTTCGCCGACGCTGAGGCGGCCTTCCCCGACTCCCCCGACGTGCTCAACTACCACGGCGAGCTGCTCGTCGAGGCGCAGGAGATGGAGGCCGCCAAGGCAAAGTTCTCTGGCGCGCTCTCCATCTCTGGGAACAAGTTCGCCCTCGCGCACGTCAACCTCGGCGTCCTCGAGCTCCACCGCAAGCAAGACCTCGAGGCGACGGAGCCTCCCGCCCCGCCCCGCCCCGCCCCGCCCCGCCCCGCCCCGCCCGCTCGCGTGGGCGTGGCGGTGGAGGCGGCCTCCTCGCGCCTCCTCCTCGCGCCTCCTTGCCACGCCTTCGCGCCGCCCGCGCCCAGGCGGCCATCAAGCACTGCGAGAAGGCGATCAGCGTCGACCCGCTCTGTGAGACGGCGCACGTGCACATGGCGCACCTCTGCCTGCAAAAGTACGACCTGCGCGGCGCGGTCGCGGCGTACGACCGCGCGGTCGAGATGCTGCGCCTCAAGCAGGCGACAGACGGCCCCTCGCCTGGCCTCCCCGCCGCCTGGCCTCTCCGCCCGCCCCTCGCCCACCCTCTGCCGCGCCGGCGGCTCCTCACGCCCGCCCGCCCCGCCGCCGCCCCAGGAGCTGGTCGACTGCTACTCGATGCGCGAGGCGACCGCAGCGCAGCTCGCGCTCATCGACTCGCAGCCCGCGATCTACGAGCCACTCCTCGCAGAGCATCGCCAGCGCGCGGCGATGGCGGCGGCTGGGATGGGCTGAGGCCGCGCGCAACGGAAGGGCCCTCTGCGCTCTTGGCTGCGGGTCGTATCGGGCGCATGGAACCGCGCATGCTGGGCTGTCGCGTGCATATAAGTGAATCTGTGTATGGCGCGCCGCGGGGAGAGTCCCCCTCCTCCTCTCGAGGGAATACACAGATAACAAAACAGGTGACAGGAGTCAGGTCTCAGGACACGTCACCTTTTTTACAAGTAACACACAAAAAAAGAAAACCGGCTGCGGCCTGCGCGCGTCTGAGTGTTACCCAGCTGAGAACTACGGTCTACGCGTTTATCGTTAACTATCAATAAAGAGCGAGTGCGTGCGCGTGCGTGCGCCCGTAAAGCCCAAACCACACAGGTACGCGTAATAAAGAGCCTAAAGCCCAAACCAAGATCGTGCAGGGCGACAAAAAGTCGCATGTCGCGGTTCCGTGCGGCCACAAATGCGCTTGCGGACCTTGCTCCAAGAAGCCGGAGCTGGCCTTGTGCTGGCCTTGTGCCCCTGGTGTCGCAAGAAGGTTGAAAAATGGAGATCCAAAGTGCTCGAGATGTGAGAGTGGGGCCCGCACGGCCCCGACTTTCGAAACCCGGCGCCCGCCCTCTTTCTGGCCGCGTCCCTCCGCTGTCCGAGCGATCTTTTGGTTCCACTTGTAGTTTACATACATAAAACCCAAAAACGGTCGGCCTCTCTCGCGGGACAGACAGGACCGACAGAGGTCGACTTTCAGTGAGAGGACAGAGCGGCCCCCGTTTACGCAGTTTCTCGCGGCGGCACCATGCGGGACAGACGACGTCCTCTGAGGATCTCTCTCAAACTCTCTCGTGTCTCAACACCTCACTAGCGACTAGCACTACCACTAGGAAGGAAGGACACCACTCTGGACACACTCACACTAAACACTAATTACACGAAGGATACGCGAGTAGTCGGGAGATGAGCCAGCACTTGGAGCACTTGAAGTGCGCACGCCCACACAGGGCCGGGGAGCTGAGAAGCGCCACCCAGCGGGCCGGACGATTGGGGGATTGGGATCGGCGATCGGGTTGCGGCTTGCGCGGGCTAGAGAGCCCTAGCCCTTAAGGGAGGGTGCGCGTTCGCAGGGAAGGGGCCATAAAGTAAACACAAGTCTCCGAAGGAACTCCGCCGCGGCGCGTTGGGTTTCCCCTAGCGGCAGAACGCCCCCTCGAGGGGTGAGTATAAACACGAAAGAAAGAAACGCCACCTTCCAACGAGCCGCCACCCCCACATACATGGAACGCGCCGCCACGCTCTCCGCGTATGAGCGGGAGCGCCTCGAGAACATTCGGAGGAACAACGAGCGCCTGAAAGAGCTCGGCCTCAGCCAATCCGCGCCGCAGCCAGCCCCGCGGCAGCGGCCACCGCCCAAGCAGCAACGCCGCCGGGAAGCAGCGCCGCAGCGGGCGTCTGCACGGGTGGCGGCTCTCATCGCGACCGGCGCAGCGCCAGTCACCTACGCCGACGACCAGCTGTCCAGGGAGAACACGTCGCGTGGCGGCACCGCGCCGAGTGCCGACGGCACTCCCCTCCCAACCCGCAAACGCTCCGGGCCGCCGCGCGCCATGAACGCCGCCGCGGCTCTGGCGGCGGCGGCGCGGAAGCGGGCGACGAGGGTCGGCGCGATATCCGAGTGCCCCGCTCCACTCCTTTGCCCGGCCAGCGCCGTCTCTGAGAGGAGAGGGCCGGAGAGGCGGCTCCGGCGGCCCGGCGGCTGCGCGAGGTGCGAGGGCGGGCTCGGAGAGGCGCACACGTGCGGGCTTGCGAGGCGGGAGTCCGGAGGCGGCGCGTGCGCTCTTCCGGGCGTGCTGCTCTGCGCTGACCCGCTGCTGGCGGTCCGCGCGCGGCTGGAGGAGGAGCACCTCGCGGTCTCGAGTCTGCTCGCGTGCGTGCGGCCGCCTCTCGCGGCGCAGGCGGGGCAGGCAGGGGAGGCGGCGGAGGCGGCGGAGGCGGCGCAGGCGGCGGAGGCGGGGCAGGCGGGGCAGGCGGCGGAGGAGCCGGAGGTGGAGGCACAGGCAGCGGAGGGTCCGGAGTCGGGGCAGGGTGGCGGCGTGGTTGCGCCTGCGCCGAGAGTGAAGAAGGCCGAGCTGGTGGTTGGCGGCAGCGACGGGACGGGCCGCCGGATCGAGGACGCAGAGGCGCTGCAGGCTGCGGTGGCGGAGCGGAAGCGAGCGTCGAGGAACCGTACGCGGAAGCGCGCGCGGGAGGCGGCGGTGCGGGAGGCGCCGGCCCGCGCGCTGGCGTACGAGGCGGCGGTGCGAGGCAGAGTGCCCTGCTGGCAGCCGGCGGCGGGGAGAGGCGCTCCGTGCTGCCCGCCCACCTCCCTCCGCCACAGGGCAGCGCCGCCCACCGCTCCGCCCCGCGGCAGGCGTCCCGCTCGACCTGCGCTGCGTCGCGCCGCGCGTGCGCAAGGCCGTCACCGTCCCCCAGCCGTTGTCCTCTGCCCTGCTCGCCGGAGTGGTCTGCTCTCTGCGCAAGAAGAGGCGCCTCTCGCTGCCCGCAGACGGCTCGGGCCTCTGGCTCGCCCTGCACGCGGGACGGCCGAAGAAGTCGTTGCGGCGGGCGCGCCGCAAGACGCGGGTCCGGTCCCGCTCTCCCTCGCTCCCTCGTCTCACCCCGCGCGGCGCTGCTGCAGGCGCTCGCGGCCGAGTGGGAGGGGATGCCGCGCGAGAGCTGGCTGCCGCGGCACGCCTTTCTGGGGCTGGTGCGGGTGGCGCGGGTGGCGCGTGCCGACGAGTCGGCCGACGGGTACTTCCTGTGGGAGGTTGACAAGACGCTTCCTCTGGCGGTCCCGGTCGGCGGTGTGGTCGCGCCGAAAGAGGCGCCGGGGGGAGAGGGCAGGGCAGGGCAGGTCGTCACATGCTCACGCGCGCCGTGCGTGCACAGGTGGGGACGCAAAAGCTGTGGACCCTCCCCGAGGGCTTCCTCCGCCACAGCTACGTGCGGGCGGGCGTCGTCGAGACGCTGCACGAGGGTGCGGCGCTGCAAGAGGGTGCGGCGCCTGCGCCGTCGGAGCAGCCCTCTCCCCTTCGAGACCGAGCCGAGGGGCTGGACACTGTAGGCGTGTGTGCTGGCGTGTACCGCGAGCCGGTGGCGGGGGCGAGTGGCGGCGAGGGGGGTGCGGCGCCAGAAGAGGCTGTGCGCATGCTCAGGCGCGACGAGTTGCCGAGTCGCAAGAGCGGAGGGCTGGGCGGAGGGCGCGCTCGTGGGGTCGAGGTGCCTAGGTAGAGTCGGCTGTGGTTAGGTGTTAGGACATAGAGCCGTACGTTACATCAGTACATGTCACACCTATACATAGAAACGGTATATAGTCTATAGAACTGTGGAGTGGTTGGCGAGACGAAAATGGGGAGCTGCCTGAGCTAGACCTGAAGGAGAGGGTGCAGAGAGACGAGAGCGATCGAGAGGTGGCAGGGCGAGGGGCAGGGGCACCGTCGGCATGGAACGGACTGACATACACACACGACCACTCACGAGACCACAGCCACATCATGGCACGCACCTAAGGCGCCACGAGACACAGATTGCACCATGCATGCATCGGGTCCTCTCGGCCTCAGTGCTGAAAGCGGAAGCCGCGCCAGCCGTCGTGCTCGACGTCCTCGCAGGCTTCTCGGTACGCCTTGACGCCCCCGACGTACGGCATGAAGACGCGCGGCTTGCCCGGCACGTTCGCGCCGTTGTACCACGTCGACGCCTTTGTGTAGAGCGTCGCGTCTGCCACCTCGTTCGCGTGGCCCACCCACTCCTCCTGCGCCTCGGCGACCGCCTCGACGGAGCGGTGGCCCTCGGCGCGCATCGTCTGCACGATACCTGCGATGATGTCGACGTGGTGCTCGGAGGCGAGGATCATCTGGCTCTTGACGGACGGGCTCTGCGGGCCGGTGATGAGGTACATGTTCGGGAAGCCCGCCACCATCAGGCCGAGGTACGAGCGAGGCCCCGACTCCCACTCGTCGGCGAGGGAGAGCCCGTCCGAGTTGCGGATGTCGATGCTGCGCGCGGCGCCCGTCATCGCGTCGAAGCCAGTCGCGAGGACGAGGTCGTCGATCGGGTGCCTACTCAGGGCCGCAAGTGTGAGGAGACGCGGCTCGCAGCCGGCCGGCAGCTCCGTCGGCCAGGCAGCCTCTCGCCGCCGACACTCACGCCGTCGGGGTCGATGCGGCGGATCGGCGTCTGCTTGACGCAGACGAGGGTCACGTTGTCGCGGTTGTACGTCTCGTAGTAGTCTGTGTCGAGGCAGAGCCGCTTGGCTCCGATCGGGTGGTCGGTAGGCACCTAGGGTTAGGGCTAGGGCTAGGGCTAGGGCTAGGGCTAGGGCCAGGGCCAGGGCCAGGGTTAGGGAGGGTGTCGGCAGGCACCAGCAGGTCCGCCACCGCCGGCTCGACCAGCTTCTCTCGGATGCGCTGTCGCACGAAGCGGGCGGCGGTCTCGTTGGCGTCGGCGCACTTGAGCAGGTCGTTGTACGCGAAGAGCATCGCCTGCCCGCCCATCTCCCAGCACGCCTCGTAAGTGCGCTGCCTCTCCTCGTCGCTCACCTCGAACGCAGAGACGGAGGGCGAGCCGTACTTTGCGATCCCGAAGGGCGTGACCAACGCCTCCTGCCGGATCTCGCCGTAGCGCGCCTTGTGGGCCGCCTGCGCCTCGGGCTCCAGCGGCGCGTTCCTTGCGGGGATCGAGTAGTTCGCCGTCCGCTGAAAGACTGTCAGGTGCGAGGCGGACCGCGCAACCTGCGGGATGACCTGCACGCCGGACGAGCCCGTGCCGATCACGCCGACCCGGCGGCCGGAGAAGTCGACTCCGTCGCTCGGCCAGAGCCCGGTGTGGAAGGTGCGGCCCGCGAAGCCCTCCACGCCCGGGATGTCGGGCAGCTGCGGCGTCGACAAGTTCCCCGTCGCGAGGATGAGGTGCGATGCGACGGCGCGGGCGCCCGAGTCGGTCTCCACCGCCCAGCGGCACGCGTCGGGGTCGTAGGTGGCACTCGTCACGCGAGTGTCGAAGGAGATGCTGCGGCGCAGGTCGAAGCGGTCGGCCACGTGGTTGGCGTACCGCTCGAGCTCCTCCTGCGAAGGGTAGACCTCGCTCCACTCCCAGTCCTGCTGGAGCGCCTCGTCAAACGAGTACGAGTACTCGAGGCTTGGCAGGTCACAGCGGGCGCCCGGGTAGCGGTTCCAATACCACGTCCCTCCCACGCTGCTACCACGCTCAAACACGCGCACACTCAGCCCCATCGACCGGAACTTGTGACAAGCGTACATGCCTGCAAACCCAGCTCCGACGACAATCACGTCGTCCGAGCTGGCTGTCGTGAAGTGGCGGCGAGCCAAGGCCCGGCCAGAAGCGCGCGAGGAAGAGAGGGCGCGGCGCATGTACACCGGAGTGTTGGAAGGAGTGTTGGAAGGACTCGGTGAAGAGAAGTCGCGCCAGGGCAGCAGGAGTGAACTTTGAGAAAAACCAGGCCGTATCGTCGTAGACTTTCCTAGTATCGAGGTCTCGTGAGTTTTCCCGCCCCTGGATGTGAGGCTGTGACGACCGCACTCCACGAGCGAGAGAGCTGTGAGCTGTGAGGGTCCGCCCGCAGGCGCATTAATTAACATGGGTTATACGCTTACGGAGTCTGTGCCCGGTGCCGAACACCGCCTGTCGGACCCTGAGACAGCATTGTAGATCCCTGGGCGAGGGTGGTGGAGAGGCAGAGGGCGGTCTGTCGGCGCGCCGTAGCACCGCCGAGGGGCGAGTGCCCCGGAGCGGGCGCGGGCGCCCCGCGGGCCATAGCCCATACGCGATGCGCCCCCCCGCGGCCCGCGGCCGGATCCGCCACGCCGCACGCGTTGCCACTTGCCAGACACGTCTGTCGGCGCCAAACCACGTTCTCCAAGACTACCAAGTGCCCTAAATAATTACTACTTCCTCGCACAACAACTGAATTCACGCACATCATCTCACAGCGGCGCCTGCACGACCACAGTCGTCTCACGCGGCCCGTTATGCGCGGCTCTCGGTGAGGCTCTGCTGATCCTCCTGCCCGAAGCCGCCGCGCCGTTGCGGCGGAACGTCACGAGCTGCTCGAGCTCGTGCGACGCCACGACGGCCAGGAGCGCCGCGCCGCCCAGCCCCATCCAGAGGTCCGCCCACCAGCTGTCGAGCTCGCTGAACGGCTCCCCGAGGGCGGCCCAGGTGAGCAGCGGCGCGAGCAGCGCCTCGAGCAGGAGCAGCAGCCCGACCTCAGGAGGCGTCAGCCGGCGGGGCGCGCGCACGACGCAGAGGTTCGTGTACGTGGCGGCGGACAGCCCGCCGCAGGTCGCCGCGAGCCAGAGGCCGGGCTCGCCGAGCGCGCCGCCCGCGTGCAGCAGCGCGGGCGGCAGCGCCGCGCAGCCGGCGAGCATATTTCCCAGCACGACCGCGAGGCCGAGCGCGGCGTCCACCTGCCGCTGCACCGTCGCGCGGCTCGTGGTCAGCAGCGCGGCCAGGCCCACGCCGGTCGCCAGTGCCACGAGCCCGCCGAGGAGCAGCGCCCGCTCGCCGTTGGACACAATGGCGGGCAAGCAGATGCCGAGCGCGGAGGCGGCGCAGGCGAGGAGCAGCGCGACGACGGTGCGGCTCTCGAGGCTGTCGCCGAGGGCGCACCGCCCGAAGAGGGCAGCCCAGAGCGGGCAGAGCGACATGAGCAGCAGCGCCTGCGCCGCGGAGCACTCCCAGAGCGCCGCGGCCCGGCCGGCCAGGACCAGGCCCTGCAGGGCGGCCGCGAGCGCCACGTGCCGCGGCGACCGCGCTGCCGCCGCGATCATGCCCTGCCGCAGCTTGACGGAGGAGCACGAGCTCGCGAGGAGGAAGCAAAAGCTGAAGGCCGCCGTCGCGTTCCCCTTGACGGCGACCCACTCCGCGAGGGTCGTGTCATATCGCATGGCCAGCCGCAGCATGAGCGCATCGACGGCACCGGCCACCACCCCGGCTACCGTCAGCCCGATCGCCCGCGCGCGTGCCGACCCGCAGCAGCCGAGGTGGAGGTCGATGGAGAGGTCTACACTCCCGGCCGCCGGCCGAGCGCAGCCGCAGCTCCGGGTCTCCGCCTGAGCTGAGGTTCCGCCAGGTCCCCCGTCCATCAGCTGCATATTTGGCGCGGCGGCGGCGGAGCGTCTCCGGCCTCCCGGGACCGGCGCGCGTGGGGAGCTCCGCCGAACAGTGGTCGTGGAAGTAAGACGCGCTGCGTGGAAGGATACTGACTTACTGAGGGGAGAAAACAATGTACGACCCACCGTTATTGAGAAGAAAATACCGCGCATGCCGCTTTGCGCTGGTCTATGAGAGGGTGAGGTGCGAGCCCTGGAGGCCCTGGGGATGGGGGGAGACTACCCGCGGGCCTAGAAGGCCTTCACATGCGCCAAAAGGGAGGCTGCTTGGGTTGTCTGTTTTCTTTCTTTCTTTCTTTAAAGGGAGGCTAAATCGTTCTTGTTCACAGCCTTGTTATTGACAAGAAAATATGTTTTATGGCGCTGTGCGCTGGTCTGTGAGAGGTTGAGGTGCGAGCCCTGGTTCACACCTGAAGGTGAGCACTTGAGCACTGGATAGGGTCGATTCCGCATGGGGTACGTGAAGGTGTTTAATTATAATACACGAAGGATTAGCTGTGTCTACTCTGCTAAATCTCTCTCGAGGTTCTCGAGGGGAGGGATATCCTTTCTTTGGCCGCGTTGGGTAGCAGTTACCCATGAAGCGTGAACAGAAATCAGATATTTTTTCTTCTTGTGAACAGTGGGTCACGAGTTTGAACAGCGATCCTTTGAAAGAGACAGCGGACCAAAACAAGAACACAACGCGCACTCTCACATGACAAACAACTAACAAGCGATTCCAGTATCCCACGTCCCACGACAGCGTCGGTTGGGACTACAGAATTCGGACTACACTGAGAGAGGGTGTAGAGGATGTAGAGTGTAGAGCGCTGTAGAGCTGTAGAGCGTTCTGGAGCGCTGTAGAGCTGTAGAGCTCTACATCCGGCGCGGGACGATGTATGTGAGTCCGATGTAGAGCGATGTAGAGGCGCTCTACGTGAAATCTCTACAACAAACTCTACGTCATAAGCGGCGAACGAGGCACGGTCGCTCTCCGACTGAGGCGCGTTGCACTTGCCAGTGCTGGTCTGCCCTGGCCTTCTGTCTGCCCGCCCAATGGGTGGCAGGTGCCTCTGCTGCTGTGGCATGCCTCACGGCTGCGACTGGCCGGCGCCTCGGCGCGTCAGCTCGGCTCGGCGTAGCGATCGTGTGGCCAGCGCAACTCGCCTGGACTCAACGCTCAGCCAGGAGCTCCCGCACGCGCTGGCGCGAGGCATGGCGCATGCAACGCGCAGCAATGCTCGCCTCGCCTCGCGCAAATGCGACCGTCCTCGCAGCCGACAGTCCACCGCCTGCTAAAGAAGCACAGCGACGAATGCGGCACCGGCGACGCATGGCAGGCTGGTCATGACGCAGTTATAGGGTGTTGTGTGCCGTCAGAGGGACTCTCTGTGTGTCAGGGATAGTCAGGGCCGTCCACCAGCTCCAGTAAGCTCCGGAGACACCCCATTAGCGCGGCTCGACCTCTTTGAGTCACTGCAACCTGGCGGGTTGGCTGTAGAGCCTCTACAACCAACTCTACAGCAAAATCGCGCTCTACAGTGCTCTACATCTGCATCGCTCTGTCCCGCGCCGGATGTAGAGCTCTACAGCTCTACAGCGCTCCACAGCTCTACAGCTCTACAGCGCTCTACACTCTACATCCTCTACACCCTCCCTCAGGGACTACAATGCATGAAGGGTAGAGGGGCCTGTCCGCGGAACTAGGCGACACGGGCACCCCCCACGCCCCCCACTGTGGCCGAGCGTCAGAGGCCTGCCGCTTGCTTGCTTGTTCTTGACTGCCCCAAAGCCCAATCAACTGGTACGCTCCTTGCGCGCCCGCCTGCTTGTTGGTTGATGTTGGCGGCGTCGCCCGCCAGCCGCCACCGCAGCCATGGACATCTGCTGCGTGTGGTGGACGACAAACATGGCGACAAAGGCAGAGATTTTTGAATTCTTTTTATCGCTATCATCCAGGCGCCCGCGATCAAGTGGTGAGTGTTTGTGTATCGCGCGCCTTGCAGGGGGGGGCGCGCGGAAAAGAGGACCCTTGTCAAGCTGTCAAGATGGAACGCTTGGTTTCAAATACCAGCAATTCGAGGCTCTCCAGGCGGTCCAACGAGGCGGTCGTCGAGCCTTCTGTGGAGGCTAGCGTCGAGCTGAGCGACACGGCGGCATGCGGCTCAAACGGCGGAGTCACGGTTCGGCACCTAAAGTCGCTCCTCGCACGCGCGGACCTGACGTGGACGACGGCGCAGTTCGTGAAGCGTGTAGTCAAGCCGCTCACGGAAGGGAGGGAGTGCAGGTACGTCGACCTGCCAGCGGTGCGTGGCGAGAGCGGCGTGGTGGGCAAGGCGGACGCGTTTGCCTCGCACTGCTGGCAGGGCAGCTTCGCGGACCTGGTCGCGGCAATCGCCTATGTGCTCGACGAGGACCAGAGGGTGTGGGTGGACGCGCTCGCGGTGAACCAGCACCCGCACACCCCGCAGCACAAGTCGGACGTCAAGCGCTTTGCAGAGACGGCGGGCCCCGAGCGGCCTCGCCCCATCCGCCCTGCCTCGCTGGTCATGCACGTCCTCGTCGCTGTAGGTGCGCGCGTGCCCTGTCCTCGTCCTCTGCGCGGCGCACCTCGAGTCCGTCGCGGCGATGAGCGCCGACGACGCACGCGCCGGCAAGATCAAGCTCGTGCCTCCCGCCGAGCGCAAGCGGTGCGCCTTTTGGCGCGTGTGGTGTCTCGTCGAGCTCGCGGCGGCGCTGGCGGAGAACAAGCCGGTGGTGATGCTGGTTGGCTCGCGCCAGCCGAGCGGCGAGTTCGAGCCCGACCCGCGCATGCTGGTCAACATGTACCGCCTAACCCTAACCCTAACCCTAACCCTAACCCTAACCCTAACCCCAACCCTAGGTCAACATGTACCGCCTCGTCGACATCAACGACTCGGAGGCGACCCTGCCGGAGGACGTCGCCCTCATCCTCGACGCGATGCTCCCGCAGATCCTCGGGCTGGCGGACCGCGTCCAGGCGCCGCTGCAGTCCACACCCTCCGCCTCTCCGCCGTTCTCACCCAGCTGCTGCGCCTCACAGGCGGTGCGGGCGGTCAACGCGCTCGCGAAGGGAGCCCTCACCGGCGCGATGCGCTGCATGCGCCGGCCAGAGATTCTGCGCGCCGCGCTCGGCCGCACGGCGCCGCTGCTCGCTCGCTCCTCCGCAGTGCGGGCTGAGGCGCTGCCGGCGGCCGCCGCGGGCGGCTTCCTCGAGGTGGTTCGCGCGCTGCTCGCTGCCGGCGTGGAGGACGCAGACCGGCGGGACGAGATGGGCCAGACGGCGCTTATGAACGCGGCGCAGGGCGGGCATTGCGAGGTGGGGGGGGGAGTGGATGTGGTGGACGCGCGCTCGCTCTCTCGTGCCCTGACTCGCGGCCCTTCCCGCCGCAGGTCGTGGAGCTGCTCCTCGCCGCCGGCGCGAGCGTGCGCCTCAAAAAGGAGGACGGCTTCGACGCCCTCCTCCTCGCCGCCAACGGCAGCCACGCCGACGCGGTCGATTCGCTCCTCCTCGCCGGCGCCGACCCGAGCAGCAGAGACTCGAGGGGGCGCACGGCCGCAGACATGATCGCGGAGCAGCAGCGGCTCCGCGGGCCGACGCGCGCCATGTCCGACAAGAACAAGTGGTTCATGCCCCTCGACGAGCCCTCCGCCGACAAGGCCCGCCACCCGAGCGGCCGCCGCCTCCGCCCGCCCTCGATCGGCAGGACGCCGACCAGCGTCTTCGAGCGGATGTACACCTCCTTCCAGCGCCTCTCCAGCGACCTCCCCTTCTCCGAGCCGAGCGACGGCGGGAGCGACGGCATCGCCTCTCCTAGCGTGAGCCTCGCGTGCAGCCGTGGCGCTTCCACAGAGCCTCGGGCAGGGCGGGTGCGCGGCGAGAGCGATTCGCCGCCGCTGCTCGCGGAGAGTGGAGGGCCGATGGCTTGGCTCTGTCACCTGTGCCTTCTAGGGCCCCTCTGTGCGGGCCGCGGCTGATGCTCAAACGGATCGGTTCTAACGAGCACTCGAGCACGGGACATGCAGAAAGGGGTCGCAGTAAGTCTACGTGTAGAGGCGTGCCCGCCCGCCACAGAACGGGCCAGGTGCGCGTCGCGAGTTGCGCGCATCCAATAGGAGTGTATACTCAACACAGCCTCTCCACACGTCCACTCTCCACCGTGTGAGCTGCTGTCATGTGGCAAGGTTTAGTTAGATATAGGCAACATGTTGAGGGTCTCATATGTCGTGTCATGAGAGTCATGTGGCGCATGTTATGACTCACATTGAGTCAATTGTCATGTTTTAGAAACAATTCTTATACGTTAGTGATTTCACACACTTTCAGAGTATTCAGAGTCAGAGACCATGCTCACTTTACACTAGACGACGGGGAGGCGGAGCAGACGCGCAGGGCGAGACGAGGGAGGGAGCAGGATGTTGCTGAGATCAGCAGGAGGATGTACGACGAGATTAGGAGCAGCAGGGACCCGAGGGACCATGTGGAAGACGGCTAGTGCTAGTCCCCCATCGGGAGGACGACCCCGGCTAGTCGCCGACCACACACCCACAAAGAACCCTGCACAAAGACCGCAGGGCGGGGACCTGTTCCTTTTTACCCATCTCCTAGTAGAGGTGTCCGTTTTATTTATTTATTTATTTCACTTTACACTTAGCCTTAGGCTTAGAGCGGCTTTTCGGGGAAGGTCGCGCGAGGGGCAAAGCGGGAGAAAAAGACGCCAAAAAGGAAAAGCCCAAGAGACGAGAAAGACAAAGAGCGGGAAAAAGGTCCTCAAACCACGACACCGCACACGTCAGTCGTCACACACCCACTGAGTCCGTCACACACCACAGTCACAGACACACGCGTTCAGTTCAAGATGTGCGACGGTCTCAGTGGGTGTGTGACGACTGACGTGTGCGGTGTCGTGGTC